ATCTCTTGAGCCAGTGCTGCTGCGGCTTCTCGAGACAACCAACCACCGTAGTTAAGGGCATCACCCTCACTGAAGTTGGCAGCATCATGAGGAGGAGCAGACTCGACCGCCTCTATCACACCTCTCAAGCATTGGACGACATTGTCTGGGTCAGCAACCATCTGTACTACTCGGTCAGTGGATAATGGAGCCAACATTTGATACACCTTGATAACACGCATTTTGTACTTATCACGGAGATCCTTAATACGTTCTCCACCTCGACCGATGACGGAGCAAGCTTGGCTTTCGTGCACCAGGATTCTAAAGTCGATCATGTTCTCGTCTTCCTCGTCATCCCGTTCTGGGCCTTCGTTACGTCTTGGACGACGTCGAGACCCTTGGACACCCATTATGCGTTTCGGGTCGGAGAGTTTTGCGTTCATTATGTCCTTTAGTTTTGGACAAACATCGCGCATGATGCTGCAGATGGCTTGCAGGTCACCCTCGATAGTCATTATCCGTTCAGGGCCTCTGCTGTCGGGAATATTCAGTTTGACGTTATACTGTGACGTCAAGCCAAGTATGCAGTACGCATACATTCTCGAATATAAACAACCACGATAAAAGTGGATAGTTGGCAAGGTCGAAAGATGTGCGGATAATAACTGGGGTAGTATGGATGAGTTAGATTGTCTGAAGGCTTGGGACAAACCCTACAGGCTTGACATAAAAGTACACACACTGTACAACGGCTTTCATTTGGTCTGCATAGGTGTATCTTGCTGAAATCACTACCGTGGAGGAAAGCGTGCAGAGAGCCATACCGCTTGACGTCATCGAATTGTTTTGAAGATCAGAAAACATTAGATAAATGAAGATTATTGGGTGTAAACACGTTCTGTTAATAAACGGTATCTTTTCGCCGTTTCATGACTCAAATCACACTTGATAGAGATGCTTTAGAGTATGTAAAAACCTTTACATATCTGGAGAGCAGGCGTGGATCGACAAAGCAAGGACAGCATTTCTACAATTGAACAACATCTGCAACTCAAAACAACCATCGATAGACACCAAAGTCACAATTTTCAATACAAACGTCAAGAAAGTTCTACTGTATGAAGCGGAAAGTTAGCACAAAAAAACACGTCATTTTGATATGCTTGAACTATTACGAGTTTACCTTAGTCGGAAAACGAGAGCGAGGATCCGGCGACACGACATGCTACTCTAATCCGATTGTCCCAACCCCCATTGAGTAAAAGAAGAAGACTTGAATGTGAAGTAGAACCTGTGTTCTACAAGCACCCAGAAAGCACGAGGTTCGAGTCTAGAAGGGAATCAGGATCCCGGACTAGGGACCTGGGACCGGGTCCTGGTCATAAAACATTATAGATAATGTGTATTTATGCAGCTAGATAGAATAGGAAACAACATTGAAGTTTGTGACATTAACAGTTAAGACGACCAATAGGAAGCAACATTTGAAGTGACATTGATAGTCAGGACAGCCAATCACAAACAACATTGGAACAGGTGACATTGATATCTAGGACGACCATAAAACTGACCAGTAGGAATTAACCAATAGGAATTGACCAATAATTCTCTTAGGATATTGGATGAATATCCTAACATTGCTCGTATATCCTGGGACACACGAGTGAGCAACGCTGTTATTAGGAATCGGGTGCTAGGTAAGAATGGCAGATCAATAAATGAAGTGGTGAAACTTCATCAGTTGAGGTGGTTGGGAGATGTGTTGCGTATGTCCAACCAGCAACTGCCTCGTCGAGCTTTGTTTTGTAGTGTAGGAATAGGTTGGAAGAAAGTTAGGAAATCCATGAAGTCATCGACGAGTGGACTTAGCCATGTCGGTAATTGTCGACTACCTGGTTGGGGTCCGCGAGATGATAATAATCGATGGTTAGATACCCTGAATGACATGGCTCAAAATCGTTTGCAATGGCGCCGGTGCATTTATTCTTTGTGTTCTCTCAAATCCTAATCTTCTGGATTCTTCAACACCCCTTTAGTTTTGACTTTCTAAACTTTTCTCACCGAATGATACTTCTTGAATAGTATCTTCTAACCCTAACCTCTCCGATTACTTCTAATACCTTTTCTACCTCTACTACTATTGGATTTGAATTGACAATTATATCTCTGTGCTGATGTGGTATGGCGACATGAACTGATGTACTTACGTACCACTTTCTACGTTGCATCTAACTGACTGACTAACACAAAATACGAAAATAAAATCCTTTGAATAATTTCATTATAGAGTTTTGAAAATTGTTGAGTTTCATTTAAAAAACATGAATCGATCATTGTTGGATCACTATTGAAAACCTATAAGCATTGGATAGCCCATTTCGTCCCCGAATGTGACTCATCAGTGCCAGTGCACATCCATGATCCTCATACTCGTGGTCATTGAACCATTTTCAATAATTAAGTTATTTCTTGTGATATTCTAATGTTTACTCAAATCATAAGTAGAGTATTCTTTTCTCTATATACTTTGTTTTAAAACCACACTATATATATTCAATCAATCTCAGTAATTCAAACAATAAATATGAATAACTTCTTGTCAAGTATAATTTCAAACGTACACCCGCACACCGCACTCACGCACCCACACACACTTACATACAAGTACAGAATACCACTTAACAATCTACCTCAAATTATAATTCATTATCTGTTTAATTTAGCGAGAATTTAACAATATACATATTCTATTACTGATGTCAAAATATATGCATGATTAGTTTATATTGGCATAATGTAGTAACCACCTACTATTACTACTCATAAATAATAATTACATACTGTGAAGTGTACTACTATAGTTGTTTTTTTTTCACATCAAATGAAAATTTTGTCATTTGTATTGAATAATTTAAAAGTGATAAGTAATCATCATCATACTCCTAAATTATTTATTTTTTACATGTTTTATTGACCTCTCTATTATACAGGATTATCGATTTTCACATGGTTGTATATGAATAAGTGTTCGAAAAATTATCTGTATAGAGTTATACTATTTAAATAAATTAAGTAGTTCAAACTGTTTCGTTACAAAAAGTACCTACTTATGCCTGTTACATCTAATGAAGCATGGGCAGACCAACTAGCATTTTCCAGCCTACTCTATCCTCCGCCTTCCTTTATAGTTGTGTCAAAGTGTTGTTCATTCTCCTCGCGTCTACCTCCATTTCTTAGCGTAATGTGTTGTTTGGTCTTCCTCTTATCCTTTGGTCTTGAGCATTCCCAAGTGAGGGTTTTTTGTCTTGTGAGGCAGTTCGGTGATTTCTTCATTGTGTGTCCTGTCCACATTTCAAAAAAGTACCTTTTCTAAAAGAATATCATACTCAAAATCACTTATGGTCTGGGAAATTGTAACAAAGCTTATTCTATTGTTTGACTTGCTTGTTTGAGTTTTCTGGATAAATAATCATGCTCAGTTAGAGCTTTGGAGATTTGTGTTTTTACACATTTGAAATCATCAATCAATCATTGTTAGACCACCATTAGAAACCTGGAAGCACTGTGCGATGGCCGTTTCGTCTTGGTATGGGACTCATCAGTGGCAGTGCGTATCCACGACTACTGCATCTCGCAGGACTCGGACCCGGGTCCTTCGATATTGAGCGCGAACGCCTAAGCATTGGACCACTGGGCCAACATTCAGAAATGTTATTGTCTAACTCTGATCATTCTAAGCATTCTTCACAACCTCACTTATAATCTTAGCAAGGTATCAACCTACACCCAACAGCGCTAAACTCTACTGGTCACGTCTCGTCAATAGAACTTGGCGAATTTCCTCACGAAGCTGTTCACTAGTTCTATTCGATGAAGACGCTGACAAAATGCAGAGTCTTCTGACTATCTTAAGCAACAATGCAAGCATGTTCGGGATGCGGTTTTCCCCATCGAAATGCAAAATGTTGCTTCAAGATTGGGTTGCATCGGCACCTGAACTAGTGATAGGGAGTGAAGTAGTCGAACGTGTAGACCACTTCACGTATCTGGGGAGTTGCATCAGTGCTCATGGCCTGGTGACTGAGGAAATCTCAGCGCGGATACAGAATGCTCGATCGGCTTTTGCCAACCTGCGTCACCTATGGCGCAGGCGAGATATCCGCTCGCTAAACAAAGGACGAGTGTACTGTGCAGCAGTTCGCTCCGTCCTACTGTACGGATGCGAAACATGGCCGTTAAGAGTAGAGGACATTCGTAGGTTACTAGTCTTCCATCATTGGTGTCTCCGAGGCATTGCTCGTGTATCCTGGGACAACCGTATAAGCAATGCTGTCGTTAAGAAACGAGTTGTAGGTAGGGATGGCAAATCAATAGATGAAGTATTGAAACTTCATCAGTTAAAGTGGTTGGGACGTATGTTACGTATGCCTAACCATCGACTGCCTTGACGAGCTATGTTTTGTGGTGTAGGAGTAGATTGGAAGAAAGCTAGGGGCGGCCAAACCAAGAAATGGCACAAATCCATGAGTCATGTTGGTAGATGTAGGCTACCTGGTTGGTGTCCACGAGACGAAAGTAACCGATGGTTAGAGACCTTGAACGACATGGCTCAGAATCGTTTGCAATGGCGCAGGTGCATCCATTCTTTGAGCTCTCTCAAATCCTAATCTTCTAGATTCGTCAGCACCTCTACCTTTGTCTTCTAACCTTATCTCACTGAATTATACTTCTTGAATAATATCTTCGAACCCTAATCTTCTCCATTACTGCTAATACTTCTACTATCGCTATCACTCTTGGATTTGAACTGACATTTACGCCTCTGTGTTGACGTGGTATGGCAACCTGAAGTGATGTACTTACGTACGAAGTTCTGCGTTTTATCTGTCTGTCTGTCTGTCTATTCACTAGTGAATACATAAGTTTACTATCTCTATTGTAAATTTTGGATGAATATTTGTTGTAAAATGTATTTCCACTGGTAATTGAGTTTTTATTAATCATTTTTTAATACATAGATACTAAGGAATCATGTCATGGTTCGAGTTGGTGGTGGTTGGGATACTTTAAGTCATTTTCTGTCAAAATATGATGAATGTCGTAAAACTAATCCAGGTAAGCATTGATTTCTATACTGTTTTAAAAGTCTTAAAAAAGGTTTTACTCCGTTCATTTTAACAAACTATCATCTATACCAAGTGTTTTTATGTTATCTTTTATGATGGAGATTGGTAACAGCCTCATTTTGGCCGGTGGAATTTAGCTCTCAAATGTCCTAGTACAATCGATGGTAGGGAGAGTTCGTCTTGCCTCACTTTATCATGTTATATGGCTGCGCATATATAGCTTTTCTTAGAGAATTCCTACACACTTCTTTCTCGTAACAGGACTGATGTTTACAAAACAAATGCCTTAAACCGAATTACCCTCTTTAGTGCTACTGAGAAGACTGAGGCAGGCGAGGAAGATTGTATTATGCAAGTCAGTTAAAAACAAAAACATTACATTGAACACTACTCTATTCGCATACCATTTTTGAGTTGTGACTTCCAACACTCCATCCTTCTTCTTCCATTCCTGTTGTTGCTTCCTTTCCTTCCTTCATGTTGGTACTCCATTTACTTTCCGTTTTTTCCTCTTGTGACCGTGAGACTTCTTCTTTCACGTCCCTTCTTATACTACTTATATCGTTCGTATAAGTAGCACACACCACACTACCAATGTAAAGTAGCATTACATAGCGTGAAAAAACAATGTTAAATTCCATTCTCCTTATAGGGTAGAAGGGTTTATCGTGTTTCATTGAACTCACGGATCGATCAGTGTAAATCACCATTAGAAACCTGGAAGCACTGGATGGCCGTTTATTTTCTAGGACGGGACTCCTCGGTGTCATTGTGCATCCACGACTCAGCGAGTGGCAATCGAACCAAGTTTATCATTGATTGATTTATGAAAGCAATGAAATCTAACAATCTCCTCAATCCTTATACTGACAATCATTATGTGTTCACTAATGACTATAGCTCCGTCAAAGAATTTGCCAAGTTCTAATGAGAAGCTGTGATTAATGGAAGCAGTCATATACACAAGACGATGTATAATGGCCGCAAGAAAGTGTGAATCGATTAAATTTAAGTGTGTCAATCGCCTTACTTATCTTAGAAGTTGCTTCAGTGCTGACGAACTAGTGTGTTACGAAACCTCAGCCCGGACAAAGAAAGCTAGACAAGTTTTTGTCAACTGGTGTCACTTATGACGTAAGCGAGATATCCGTCTACTAACCAAAAGACGAGTCTATTACCCATCCTACTCTCTATGGGTGTGAAACATAGCCAGTAAGAGTAGAGGATATTCGTAGGTTATTGGTGTTTAACCGTAGGTGTCTTCGAAACATTGCTCGTATATGCTGGGACGACCGAATAAGCATTGCTGTTGCTAGGAAAACAGTACACAAGGTTAGGATGGCAGATCAATTGATAAAGTTCTGAATGCTCATAAGTTGTGACAGTCGGGACAGGTGATACGTACGCCCAACCACCGAATGCCTCGACGAGCAACGTTTTGTGTTGTTGGAGTAGACTAGAAGAAAGCTACGCGCGGCCAAACAAAAACATGACTCAAATGCATGAAGTCACTGACAGCTGGGTTGAGTCATGTTGGTAAGTGTCAACTACTAGGTTGTGGTCTGCGAGACAATAGTAACCGATGGTTAGAGATTTTGAACAACATGCCTCAAAATCGTTTGCAGTGGCGCAGCTGCATCCACTCTTTGTGTTCTCTTAAATCCTAATCTTCTGGATTCGGCAACACCTCTACCTTTGTCTTTTAAACTTATCTCGCTGAACTATTCTTCTTGAATAATTTCATCGAACTCTAATTTTCTCCATTACCGTTAGGACTTCTACTAACTCTACACCTATCGGATTCGCACTTACAACTCCATGTCTCTGTGCTAATGTAGTATGGCAACCTGAACTAATGTACCTACTTACGTGTGTACAAAGTTCTACTATGTAGAGCTGACTGATTGACCTACATAGGAATATTACATTACATTACATTACATATGCCTGTTACCCCCAATCGAGCATAGGCCGCCCACCAGTTTTCTCCAACCAACTCTGTCCTGAGCTTCCCTTTCCAGTTCTGTCCAATGTTTGTTCATTCCTCTCTTATCTTTCTCTATTTCTCGGCGTAGTGTGTTCCTTGGCCTTCCTCTTTTCCTTTTGCCTTGAGGGTTCCATGTGAGGGCTTGTCTTGTGAGGCAGTTAGGTGCTTTTCGTAGTGTGTGTCCTATCCACTTCCACCGCTTCTTCCTGATTTCCTCCTACACTGGAATCTGGTTTGTTCTCTCCCACAGTAGATTGTTGCTGGTAGTGTCTGGCCGAAGTATTTTGCGTAGACAACTGTTAATAAACACCTGTATCTTCTGGATGATGCCTTTCGTAGTTCTCCATGTTTCCGCTCCATACAGTAGAACTGTCTTGAAATTTGTATTGAAAATCTTGATTTTGATTTTGGTTGAAAGTTTTCTGGAGTTCCAGATATTTTTCAACTGTAGAAATGCAGCCCTTGCTTTGCCAATCCGTGCCCTCAAATCTGCATCCGATCCACCGTGGTTGTCGATGATGCTGCTCAGATATGTAAAGGTGTTAACGTCCTCCAAGAGTGATTTGATTGGCGTATGTAGTGTTGTATCGGGGAATCTTGCTTTTCCCTTTATGTATGTTAAGACCTACTGCTGCTGCAGAGGCTGCTGTTACACTGATCGTCTTCTCATGCATTTGTTGTTGCGTGTGTGCGATAGAAGAACCATCACATCTGCAAAGTCCAGATTGTCCAGACATAGGAATATAATAGTATCTTATTAAAACATCGAAATTAAACAAACGATCTCTGTACAATTTTAACTATTCTGTAATTCTTCTGTTTTATTTCTACTCTTATTCCACTCATTTTAAAGTAAAATCATGTCAATTGAATTCAACCGATCAACAAGAAACCACGAATCCGATTGATCATTTAAATAAAAATCATTGCATTCAAACAAATACACCAGCACAAATAGTACACCATGAACAAACACATGAAAACATTTTACAATGTAAATTAAATTTTATCAACAATAACAATAAGGAACGTACATTATCCAATGAAAAACTCACACAAAATAGTCGAGTAAAACAAATGATTCATAATAATAATAATAATGGATTAAAACAACAATTCAATAATCAATTTTCACAAAATGGAATCAATGAAAATTATACTGACTGCGTAAAACATTGTACATTGAATAAGGATTCAAAGAATTTCAACGAACCGAAATGTCATACTAAATCACAAGTAAGTAGACATTAGGGTTATGTGTATATTTCATAACAGAGTGAATTATGAAGATTGTTGTTTTTTCAGTGAAATCATGAATCAGTGATTGTTAGATAGGGATTAGACATCTGGAAGCATTGGATGTCTGTTTCGTCTTAGTATAGGACTCATCAACAGTGCGTATACACGATGACTCAAACCGGGGATGACTAACGTCTGGATCACTGAGCGGGCTGGCATCCAATGGTGCTAATGTCAAACTTTGATCAATCCAAGGTATTTTACGACGCTTCCCATTGTCTTCGCTATGTATCGGCTTACACCTGACAGCGTTGAACTGCACTGGTCCCATCCTCTCACTACAACTTGGAGAATTTTCTTACTAAGCTAGTCATTAGTGAGCACATAATGCTCATTGTGACCCTATCAGGTGTAGGTACTTACACAGCAAAGATAATGAGTAAGGTCGCACACTATTTTGAATTGAATAAAGTCAAACATCAACGCCATTGGATACCGGCTCAGTGGTATCGAGGTTAAGTGTTGGCGTGTAAGAGCTAAGGTTCTTGGATTGATTCCCGCAAGCGCATGTCGTGGATGCCGCTGAAGGGTCCTTTATTAGGACGAAACGACTATTCAATGCTTCCAAGTTTCTAACTGTGGTTTAACAATGATTGATTGGTTTGTAGTTTTCAGGAAACAACCGAAATGATTAATTTGGTGGTGAGTTTATTGGTTTGAACACTTTCACTTATTCATTACCTAATTCGGTATAGGGTTGTAGAGATTACTGGGTTTCATTGAACTCATGAACTGATCGATCTTAGACCACTATTTGAAAACCTCAAACACTAGAGTCAACCGCAGCACCCTCGGTCTCGTACATGAAAGTTTATACCTTTGACCAGTGAGTCAGGATCCAACAGTATTAATGCCTAACTTCAATCAATCAACAATATTGCTTGACTATCATCCACTGTCTCTCGGAGGTAACAACCTCAGTGGCCTACCCTGTTAATCATGACTTCTCACCATGTAGTGCGCGCTACTTATAAGTAGTATATGACGTGAGTGTAAACGTAATATCTGGCAGCAGAAGATGGGGGAAAATCAAGAAAGGAAGAGTGGGAACACAATGGAATTTGTATGAAACGCATGAATAGTGAGTGAAATGTCAGACAATGGATTGATGATGGATTGAATATTTTCAAATTAACGGTTTACGATATGGTTTTCCTATTTTACTGAGTAACTCTGTAATTTGCGATAAATACAATTCAGTTGCCCTCACCTGTGTTCTCCTTCACTACAACCAGAACTTAAAGAATCGCCTAACAAATCTAGTCATTAGTCAGAAATAATGACTATCATTATGTCAAGAGGTAACTGTTTGTGCATGAAACCACAGGTTCTAGAATCGATTCCCATCCTCATATCAACTGAACCCAATTTACAGACATGAGAAGAATGAACTGCAATATAACTGGACAGAATTAGACAAGGAAGACCCACCAGGACAGATTAGATTGAAGAATGCTAGTCGGTAGCCTATACTCCACGATGGGCAGTAACAAGGCGAAATTAAAGTAGGAATGAACTCATACTTGACTGAAATAATCCTTTTCAA